GTAAGATTTACACAATATTACGTCGGCATCGTAAGATTTATGCAAGTTTACGCTAAATTAATTTCCTGATGTTGATTTCGCTACTTCGAATTTTATGTTGCCTTTTGATATCTTTTCAATCATATCGTCAATTATATCGAGCTTTATAGTAACTTCATCATCGATTTCTCTTTTAATAACTGAGACACATGGTAAAGAAAGTTGAAAATTACATGCATTGATTATTAGGAATGGGAGTTTACCTCGGACATGATCCAGAGAATAGCCTTAAATATGGAATTAATATTAATGTGAAACCTGCAAAAAAAAAAAATTACGAATTTTGGCAAGAAATAGTGACACAGCGAGTTTCATTTTTTTTATTTGTGTTAAAAGATAGATTGTGATACATTTACTCTTATGAAATCATTCTAAAAATAAATAAGTATTGGATATTAAATATGGAAGAAATTGAATTGTTAAGCAAATTAAAACTATTGATTGGGTCAATTTATCCCAGATATGATTTATTATGTAAACCAATTTCAGATGAATTTGGGCAAATTAGAATTAATAATATTTTAAATGAATTACTTGGAACATTAAAATTAATATGAAATTGTGCTGATTGCAAAAAAAAATGAGAAAAGATGATGATTATCTTAATTCTTTATTGAATAAATCAATTGATGCATTAAATGAACTTTCAAATAGATTAAAAGAAAATGAAGAAAGTAAAAAATTAATTAAAGAATCATATCTCAATTTAATTCACACAAATGTTAGATTAAACAAATTTGCATTGTGCAATGGTTGCAAAGAAAAGGAAATTGGAAACTTAGAGGCTGATTGTGGAAATAAAGAAATAGCCAGGTTTCTTTATGAATGTAAAAAAATAAATAGATATAGTTATATTGAATGGATTTCTTTTAATGAATTCAAAAATATTGAATATTTGGCTAAAGGTGGTTTTAGTGAAGTTCATAAAGCAATATGGATTAATTATTACTATATATCAAATGATCAATCTGAAACAAATGTGGTATTAAAAAGATTATATAACTCAAGTGATAAACTTACAAATATTTTAAAAGAGGTAAAACTTTTTAGTATTAATTTTTTATAAATATTATTAATATTAATTATAATTATAATTATTGATAATTTTAGTTAAAAGCAAATGATGAAATGGATATTTTTATCAACCAATGCTTTGGAATTACAAAAGATCCAAGCACAAATGAATATATGTTAGTATTTGATTATGCTAAAAATGGAGATTTACATAATAATTTATCAAAAAATTTCAAGGACATTACTTGGAAAAATAAATTTAAATCACTTTATAATATTTCATATGGGTAAGTTTTAATTTTGTTATTAATTAAAAAAATTTTTTTTTATAAAATTAACTTTATACATTTATTATTATTATATTAAAATAAATTAGATTAAAGCATATTCACGAAAATAATTATGTTCATCATGACTTGCATAGTGGTAATATTTTTTCATACAATTCATATATTAGCAGAATAGGAGATTTAGGGTTATGTCAACAATTAATGAATAAAAATGAAAATCCAAATGAGATTTTTGGAGTTATTCCATATCTGGCACCTGAAGTATTATCAGGTAAACAATATACAAAAGAATCAGACATTTATAGTTTTGGAATGATTATGTGGGAACATACCACAGGTAAAAAACCTTTTTATAATGTTCCACATGATCATCATCTAATAATGGATATTCTTGGAGGAGTGAGACCTAAAGTCACCAAAGACACTCCTAAATTCTATACTGAATTGATGAAAAAATGTTGGGATTCAAATCCAGAAAATAGACCAACTGCTATTGGACTTGAAGAATGCTTCCAAAAATATTATTTTGATATTTCTGAAGAATATAAGAAAATCATTGAATTAGCAGAATCAAAACGCCAAGAGATAATTAAATCAGAAAAATATCTTTCAGGAGCAAAAAATCATAAACGCCATGTAGATGCATTCTATACAAGTCGCTTGCTTAGTAAGTTAATTGAGCAGGCTAATAATGAACTGGCTAATATATCAATGAATGATGATGATGATGATGATGATGATGATTCATCAAATAAAAAAATTCAACCAAATAGTTTAATTGAATATAATTTTGAC